TGACTTACTCCACGCTTCCACCAGTACATAAAGGAGGCAAGATGCACAGGCGGAATCTTCATGCGAAATACGTCCTCACGAAAAGTAAGAGGTGTCGGATCCCACAGGAAAAGAAAAATGGCTACCACACGCCCACCCAACTGGGCTGCATGAGGACAAGTACTGTTTTCCGTAGACGGTGTCCTGTACCCAGGGAAGTACGTGTCTAGAAGAGAGTTGTGCTGGCATTTCAATTCAATAATGAGCTCATCACGGTCCTCAAACACAACGTACAGGCCATCATGGTGAAAGTAGTGTTCAGAGAATACCTCCTCACCCCGCAGAAAAAACATCAGTCGCATCATCACTTGCCGCATCATCGAGTCACCAGTAATAAGAATGCCACGCCCGTTGCGACCAATGCTCGCATGGTGCAGTATTGACAGCGCCACACGCGGACTGAAGTAACGATAGCTCGGGCACGCAGCCGGCCGCACCTCAAACACAGCGTCTGAGGCATCACCAATGTCGGAGGCAACAAGCGTTGCGTTGCTCTGCTGACCGTTGTACGTCGCCGGAGAAAAACACGCCTCAGGCTCCCCACGCAGCTGCTCTTTCAGTGCATCCAATGAGAGCAGCTTCAGTGGCTTCCGGAACACACCTCCAACGTAGAACCCACACGGAGGGGGCCCACGGCGCAGAATCATCTCACAGTACACGGGAGAAACAGGCATGCTCACACGTGAAGGATCCCGGCAGTATTGGCGCAGCTTCCTGTGCGTTAGCAACGAACTGGGATCACACATGGTTGCACTCCAGCCCAAATGCGATTCAGATGACCCATTCCCTTCATCAGGATGGGATAAAGGGGTTCTCTCTACAAAACGCTTATCAATGACGTTATGACCATCACTTCCATACAGCCAAATCTGATAAAAAACAACGTGAAAAACAGAAAGACAAAGAACGGCTGCCAAAATTAACAAACCAAGTCTTCTACGGTAGTGGGACATACCTAAAGAGGAGATAGTGAAGAGAGGGAGAGAGAAGATTGACAGGAGCAGCGATAGCCAACCACCCCACTGTGCACCACAGATGTATCTCTTCGGCTAGCAAACCAGCAGAGGCCACGAAATAGGCCGACGCTGGATTAGAAACCGAATGGGAGCACGGCTCACACAGAGGAGGGGTTGGAACAGACAGACACAAGTGAAAATACCACAGAAAAGATGGATTTAGAGTGACAGTAATGCCCTACTGTAAGTGAAGGTGCGAAGAGGGGGGGGGGGAGTCAGAACAATATCATTCTCTTGGGTTACGGGCTGCGTCACGGCAGCCCACCACCAGTCGAAAAAGCACTGTCCGCGGTATGTGTAATGTGTGATGTGCACAGAGGGATGAGTATGGCCGTTGCACGAGTTATGGGGACAACAACTGTACCCTCCTCTCTGGTACAACAGAGAGCACCTCATCGGCTGCCAAACCCAAGCAAGAAATTTCCTGATGGCCCAATAATGCTGGTTGCGAAGCGACAACAGAGTAGCGCGTTGGTTCTCCCCATCACTCCCAGCGGGGGCTGCAGCAATGGTACTTCTCCAGGAATTCATCAGGTGGTTATCGCCACATCAGCATACACTAGAATATGTAAGACACACACAGATACGCAAATAAACACACAAATAAGCACACGCGTGTGCTCGCCGGATGCAGCTTCGCCAAATCTATCCTAATTGTGAAATGGTATAGAAGAAGAAGAAACGTGGGCAGAAGAAATATATATGGAGAGGCAGTGTTTCTGAATCTCCCACCATTAAGTAAACGGTGAACAGTCTGACCTCTAATCTATGTAGAGGGTTTTTTTCACTCGTTTTGTATGGCGTAAGCCACACAAACGTCGTTGAACATTAAACATATGAAAGAAAAAAATGTCAAAGATGCTCTGGAGCTGCAAAAGGACCATCAACTGCGTCAACACATATTATTCTCTTTGCACCCCTGTAATAGAATGGGAAACTGAACATACCGGATACTACTGGGTATGTGTTGTGGGTTATAAATTATGGCACCATAAGGTTGGTCATCTTTGTATTTTCTCTTGTTCTTTACTGTTCTGATGCCCATCGATCAGCAAAAAAAAGAAAAAAAATGTTTCCGCTTTTGCCTTAAACTCTCTAGTATACCCATCGATGTCTTATGTCGTACAAACATTCCCCGTCGGCTACCGTTGGTGTGGATCAAACTTATATATCAGTAATGTGTCCTTTTTAACTGTATTTTTCACTCATTCTACTTACTTGCTTGTCTTTATTTTCGTCTTTGCTGCATATTGTCATTATCCTGTTAACGAACCACACCGTTCATATTAGCAACATTCGTGGTTTGGGGAATTCAGTCAAACAGTGACAATAGTTGCATAAACGAAAGAAAAAACAGTTTGTTATTTGACCATACAAATGGGGTTGAATTCTACTACGGCATCGTGGGATTTAATTAATTATATATATACACACACAAAAAAAAGCTTTACTTATATGTACGTATGTATGTACAGATACACATCAATACGGATATATGTAAGTATATACGCAGACACATATATAGTACAAACGTATCATTATTATTATATAGAAAAATCATATTGTACAACAGAAAAGTGGGACCCCGTCAACAAGGGCATTGATTTTCCTTCACTAACACAAAATCACAGGGGGTCATCTAATCTAACTCCCTCCACTCGATACTCTTTTTGTTGCTCATATTCTTCACATCACTCCCACAGTGTGATACATGACAAACATATCAGAAGGGAATGAAAGGAAAAAAACGAAGCACAACAACAGAGGCACAGATGGAATCAGCAAAATTCGGGTCGTGAAGGAAAATATACCGCGAAGAACCACACACACACAAAAAAAAGATGGAGAAAAACGAAAAAAGGGACTACAAGGGCGAGAAAATGGCCAGAAAAAACCAACCATAAATTCTCACCAGAGACTACAACAACAAAACGAGAGCGGCTTATCGAGGAAACAATAAAACAAAGAGAAAGGGAAATAAAGCAAAAAAAAAAAAAAAACAGCATAACAGCCACAGAGAACAGAATCGCCCAATGAAAAAAAAAATTCTCAAACTCAGTAACACTTATCAAACGTTGGAAAAGCCGTCCTTCTTACGATCAGGGGGCGAAAGTCAGAACGGAAGAAACACTATTTCCCGCTCGATCTCGGTGGAAATCACACCTTATTACGATGTAGTCGGTCCTGTCTTTACAATGTGCCTAACACGTATTCTGTTTAGTGAGGCTAGACTCGCAATGTTCATCCAGCACAACGGCTACGCTCAAAAGGGCATGTATGGGTGTGCAATGTTCTTATCGGTTGACTCCCACAACATTAGGACACTGCCTCTGCATCTAAAAGACGTGTGTTTGCTGCAATAAATAAATAAACAAATGAGCTTTAGGGAGGGGAAAGGGGAGGAACCTAGTAGTCTGCCTCTTACATATTTTTTCTTCTTTTTCACACTGCAGCTTCTACTGTAATCAGTTGTTTCAGTTTGTACTATCCACGAACCTCACCGTAGATCGTCACGGCAGTACCAAAGACTGCTGCAATAACTCCACTGATAAGCAGCAAGTATGTGGCGATGAAATTCATCCATCCCACCTCCCCAAGCGACCAGTTTCCGGCGTACATGTGAAATAGTGCGGGAAAAATAAACGCCAGGAAACCACCGCAAACCCCACCCAAGAAGCCAAACACAACGCTTATATTTGGTATGAAGAGTCCAAGAATAAGAGCGGCCAGTGCGAGGAAGCCACTGACAAGAAGATTGCGCCACGTTGGTACATCTGATGTCTTTCCCCAGTGCAAAACATAGTAGACAGCGTCACGTGATGGCTGAATACAAATAGCGAACCCCACACAGAGTTTGACAGCCATACCAATATACGCAATTGCCATCATTACGTCACTCTGCGGAGAATACAACCGTAGAACAGATTCCGAAGCACCGGCTCCAAAGTCAGCGTAGCCAAAGAAACCAGCGAGAAAGTAGAGAATCCCAACACCTGTCATACTCAGTAAACTATCCCGCGTCATGCGCCTTGGCGAGGGGTTTCGCATCTCCTCGTAGATTTCAAAACAGTTCACCTGACAGATAAAGGCGAAAATGAACAAAGAAAGACCATTTATTGCCTCAATTCCACTGTTAAATAATCGAATATCTGATGAAAACCCTCCCTTCAATCCATGAGTGGCGGCGTGAACAATCATACAGATAACGAAGAAGACTATCAGTGTGACTCCAACAACAGAGGCGTACCGAAGGGAATTAATTTCCTTTGGAAGAGAAAGAGAAAACATTCCCACAAACCAAACGGCGCTCACAATCAATCGCTTTCCAGAATCTGTATGAAGGAACTTGGGTGATGATGGTGCATTGAGCAACGGTGACAACAAGTCACCCACAGAAATGACGTAGCCAACACAAGTTCCAAAACAGAAGACGAACATCAACAATGCCGTGAAATAATCCACGCCACGACCAAGCAATCCGCGTGCCATCTCCTCATATGAACGCAAACCGGTCTTATCCTTGGTGAGTGCAAGCAGTCGAATTGAATATATTGTGAATGCACAACACAATACAAGGAGAATCACAGCAACTATGATACCGGAATTATGGAATCCAGATGGTAGTACCACAATTCCAGCTCCAAGGGTTGCACTGGCGAGGTTAAAGGCATTGGATACCATTCCCCCGTAAGGTACAATGCCAACGATTCGTTTTACGAAAGAACGCTTCCCAACACCATCCATGGCTTGGCTCGAGGACCCATCTCCAACAGACACATCAGCTTTAGTTCCCAACTCTCCGTTTGGGATGTTGCCAGCGAATCCATCGTCAAGCCCGTCATCAATGGGCATGTTTCTTAATTCAGTCGTGCTCTTTGGCATATATAGGAGAAAAAAAAACTACCAAAGTTAACAAAAAGAGGTGGAAAGGATTTTTTTAAGATAAATAGTAAATCAAAAAGAAAAAACAAACAAAGAAGAGAAAATGTAGCACGGTATATTCAACGTCACCACAGAAGTGTCACACATACACACACAACACCTGACCTACTTTTCTTATTTACGTCAGCCATTTCCATTGTTGTTGTTGCTCATCACCTCCTCCACCTTTTCAAGACATTCATGCTTGATCCCTAATCCTCATCCAAGACGTCCTTCGCGAGCCGCCATCCCCACGGATTCTCTGGACACGGGTATGGCGGGGCAAGAGGCGTGCCGGTGCGTTTTCGCTCTGCGTCCTCCGCTGCGTGCCGAAGAGCCTGCTGAACTGCCGTCACCCCCGTGCCCCAGAAGAGCAGCGGCCGATCGGGCACCCGCCACGCCTGTCCGAGAAGTTCCGGGCGGAATCGACGCCCATCCGCCCCTTCACTCGCAGTCAACCCCGCCGTGTTATCATTGCTGTGAACTGCCTTGGTATTCCCCCTTCCTTGTGTACGGCGCCGCTCAAATGGATTTCCAGCCGCCTGCTCCTCCGCCAGGCGACGCTCACGCCACGCCCGCACGTCGGCGGCGGACACGTACGACATGCCGGTGGGGACCGGCAGCAGCGGGGGCCGCTCCGCCTCCGCCATCGCCTCCAGCCACGCCGCCTCTGCCCGCACATCACCCTCAACAAGACCGAGCAGCCGCTGCGTTACCCGAGCCCGCCGAGCCCGCTGAAGGGCACGTAACTCATCCGCTAACGAACCAGGACCAGCACCAGGCATATTCGAGCCTTCATTAGAACCCCCACCGCCCTTCAGGCTACGGATAATGCGGTGAAGACGCCGCGCCTTCGCCGCGGCCGCACTCGCCACACAACGCTCTTGAATGACACGATGAGTGATGGCACGTATCTTGTCAAAAAGTGCGGCAGCCTCGGCATCATCATAAACGTTAAATACACGCTGCTCAGATTCATCCAATGTAGAATTAGTCTCCAGTTTAGTTGGTTCAACAGTGGAAACAGAAACGGAATCCGCATTGAACTGAGATCCAGATAAGGCTGTCTTGCGCTGCATAATGCCTTTATAGAGTTCTCGACACTCCTCTGCCTCTGGAGTGTCCTCCACACCCTCAAAAAGCTTAGCATTCTCTCTTACACGTTTTATCTGTCGTTCCATTTGCATATGGGCCAAGTACCTAAGGCGTTTTTCATGCAGCGACTCCAGGCGCTTGTCTCTAGGATCCATAAACATTTTCTCAACAATATTTACCACCCTCTGCATCTTAACACTAGCAACTTCAGATTCAGCTAGGTCAGCAATAGTATCATTTCTCTCGGAGGATTGCTCCTTTACCTTCAGTGCCAGACGTTCCTGTTCCTGAATTTGAAGCAATTTTTTATACTCTGGAGTGTTCTGTAGTGGTATCAGCAAAGCTTTCTCATACCACCTCTTTGCCCAATCAACAGGATGGGAACCTTCTTTTGATGCATAGTATTGCACAACATCCAAGGTACTAAAGGTTCCAGCATTCATTGAATAGAGCTTACGTAGATTTTCAACATAGGCGTCAAGAGTTTCATCCTTTGAAGTGTGATAAAAGCCTTTCCCTTGAGTTAAACGAGCAAAAACCTCACAGAATTGCAAAAATTCCTCCTGCGCCTGCATTTCTGTTAACACAGTCTCTGCAACGTCCATATCAAGACCAACAGCCTTGCTTATTACTCGCTTCAATCTCTCCATACGAGCTGTTTTTTTATGTTTCTTTTGCTCTTGTTGTGATCCACCACTTTTTTTCATAGCTATTTTTTTTAACCGTTCAATTTCTGCCATCTGACGATGTCTTTCATCTAGTGTCACCTGACGCAGACGCATCTCTGCATACTTAAAGGTATTGGCAAGATGTTTTTGTGTTTCCACGTTAAGATCAGCCGTCATATTGGCCAATTGTCGTCGTTCTGCCTCAGTACTTACACCCTCACGCTTCTTGCGCACATAATCTGCAAAAACTTGCTTGATATGTGTCATGGCGTTCTCTAACTTATGAACATTATCTGCATCAAATAAAGAAGCATCAGCAGCATCATATACAGCTTGTGAAACACCAAGAGAATGTTGTGGATTCTTCAAATGCACCGGTAGACCGAGTTTAATACGCTCATATTCATCCCTAACAGTTTTCTGAGGATCCAAATCTCTTACATCGGCCATTGTAGTCTCAAAATATCGACGTCTCTGCTGCTCTGTTGTCTCTGTTGGGTGTTCACGTAACATACGACTCACGTACTTTGTAAAAGCATGTTTATCATCCATTGATACACTCTCCCACTCGCTATCTGTCATGTGTTTCGCCCTCTCTGCCACCTCCTTTCCAGCATGCAATGAAGCTCTTGCAGAGCGTTCTTTCCGACTGCGTGCAGGGGAAGAGGGGTTATTGTTCTTGCCACTTTGACCACTGCCAATACCTGCAAACACCGCCTGTTGCTCAAAATTCTTCTCCTGTGCGGTATGTGTTGCCATCATGCGACGAATCTTCGCACGCTGACTGCGTGGGTTAAGCAGCGAACTGCCGGGCGATGGCACGTGGTCGTGCCGAAAGAGCCGCCGTGCCGCTCGCATGGAATGCTCAGAGAACGTACCCTAGCAAGCCAAAAGAATCCTCCCAACTTTAATTGTACTGTTTTTTTTTTTTTTTTTTTTTTTTTTTT